CAAAGTTACATTCTCTGTAAAAAGAAACTGTTGTCTGTTATTGTAATAAACATAATTTATTTATAATTTTGACAATCTTTTTAAGTAAAATTTGAATACAACTTAATTTACAATATTCTAAAAATTTTACGTTTATATAAAATCAAAATCTAATGGCCTTTAAAGAACCAAAATTAAACTTTAATAATCGCGTCACTCAACATTTCCCCTCGTAGTGCCGGAAATAAAATTTTTTTACACGTACTCGTACAATAAATCTAATCACACAAGTAAAATCCACAGTTAAGTGATAAACGATATATTCGCACTAAATTTGCTTGGAGAAATCTACAATCAATGAAAACAGCTGGAATAATTCATTATAATAGTTGTGAATTATTTTAATTAATGCAAAATATGAATGCGATAACAGTTTCTCCTGTAAATAGAAATATTATCGTGCCTTCTCCTTTCTCATCGAAACCGTTGAAGTCAATCCAAGTCGTTACATTTCCCGGAAACCCTAGTGGGATGAATATTTCTTGTCGGCCTCGACTATACACTAGGTGTGCCACAAATCGCGACTTCAATCTTATTCATGAATCTATTCTACAGAATAGTTTTTCTTATAACAAATTCAGTTTCTTGCATTATTAGATTAGTGTATACTAAAAGTTGCTACACAAGAAATTAGCAAAGTTAAATGTTATTTGTAAAATGTTATTTGAATTACAAAATACTTTCAATCTTTTGATTTTAAATACAGAATTACTTTTATGAGTTCTATTAAAATACAAAATTGTATTACAAATACTTTTATTTTAAACACAGTAATAGAATTGTATTTTGTATTCCATATTTTAGCGGAGCACATAAAAGCATTCTGTATTTCAAATAAAAAAATCAAAAGTATTTTGTAATTCAAATAATAATTGATCGATTCAAATGATAATTGATTGATTGCCAATCTTATTATTTATATAATTAATATTTGAAATAAAAAATACAAAATACTTTTATGTGCTCCGCTGAAATACAAAATATAAGATACAAACGTGTTACGAATATTGTTTTTTAAATAAAAGAATTTCAAAAACATGCCCAGTCTTAAATCCAATACAATGCAATTAAGTAATCGAATTCGTTATTAGTGAGACCGTGAAGTACTCGAATCACGAGTAACGAATCGTCTAAAAACGAGGTCGTTAATTGTGGAACACCTCAGATGTATAAATCTTCGAATAGAAGAGAAACTTAAAAAGTCGCAGGATTAAAATCCAGATGGAAAATTTCTTCGCGCGTTTTTTCTTCTGCAATGGCTCGTCGATCTTCGACACTGAAGCGATCACAACGAAACTTGATCGAAAAGAAATCCACATAAAATCTCGCTCAAGTTGTTATTTGTTGTACCCTGTTTGTATCCTTGACATCGCACTTTGTGGCCGAGTCACGATCGAGACAGCGATTCAATACATATTATAATGGGTCATTATGTTACTATACAAATAATGTTACATATTTTATACATATTATACAGAACATAATTAATAAATAGATTAATTTTTTTACCTGAACTTTTTGCGTTTGTGTGCACAAAGTTCATATCTTTTCTCTTTTTCTTTAATGGAGAAAAAAATAAACCATGCAAAGAAGTTCAGCTAAAAGCGACCCACACAACAATTTTCCAAAGGATATTTCTAAAGACGATTTTTTACGTCCTAAAGAGATCTATAATACATACTAAAAACGTTCCGAGAACGTCCCTTGGAGAATAGGTTGTATGGGAACAAATCTATATATAATATACCTTCTACTAATTATTAATTTTCTAAACAAAGATATGAATCTTATTCCAAGAATCATCCATATAATTAGTGTTGATGCCTTATTCTGTATATCATACATTGCGATATATTTACCCGAAATAATGAAGTAATGAAATAGGTGATTCCTTCGTACGCGCGGATTGCAGTTGCCAGCCTACAAAGCCCGCCTTTTAAAGCGCGCCTTAATCGCGTGATTTTCCTGAACACGCGAATTTATCTCGCGGACGAAAGAAATACGTGAACGTGCGTGTCACGTTGTCGGAGGGATAGAGCTAACCGGGGGATCCTCGTCGCCGGTCGAGCAACAGAAGCAATTCACTTGTAGCGTTTTCCTGCCATTGAGGAGTGATCACTCTTTCCGCGCGAAAGCAACGGAAACTCGCCGGAATCGTCGCGAACTAATAACAAGATAACGTGGTCCGGTCGCGGTTCCACCGCGACGATTATTAACGATACTTCGGGCGCGGGATGTACGCACCGATACTCTGGCACGGGGATCAACAGTCGTTTCTAATTTGTTTGTCAAACGCGGTAAGCCATACCGCCACCAACCACCAACGACGAAAGGCGCGAATCGCGGTGCGCGCGCGCGGGTGGAAAAGGCGCGAAACGGGAGGAGGTGGCGGTGGGAGGTAGAGGAGGTGGGGGGGAAGGTCTGTTCGGTAGATACACTTTCTGTACTCCGTTTTCTCTTAACTCGGCTAACTTCTAGCTTCTCGCTTCTCGCTCCCGACCAAGTACGAACGTTATCTCGTCGAATATTTGTTTTTTTTTATCATGCTCTTTCATAGTAATTTATAGCAATTTATTGGGCATGTATTAAAAATATTTTCGTTTAAAACACGTTATTTGCAATATGTATATTTTTTATTTAAACGGAGCACATAAAAAGTATATTACGTATTGTATATGTTTTGTATATAAAATCGAAAGATTAAATTTTTCATATTTTGTAATTTAAATAATAAAACTAGTTGTCAATCTTAATATTTGAAATACAAAAATACAAAAGTACTTTCATATGCTCTCATAAAATACAAAATATAATTATCTTACAAATGCGGTTTTTTAAATAAAAGCATTTCACATATCCAGCTCTGTTTATATAGATACTCATATATTGCCAAATATATTATTTTTAATGTTTTGCTTACATTTTTGAAATTTGAAGATAAACACACCTATATTTAATAATTTAATACTTTCCTACGAAATTTTATTCGGATTTGTGCTTAACATTACAATGTCTTTTAAATAAATTCTAAGAAATTAAACCGCGTATTTTTATTATTCCTGATTTATTTCAATTAACTTTCTTTATTAATATGAATTGTTCTTTTTAATAAAAAGATCTAATTAAAAGATCAGCTTTCGCCTGCTCGATTGAATAAATCTACTTCTTATTCCCGTTGTTATTCTTAAAGACTATCTTGCTCCATTTCTTTCCTCAAATATTTATTGTTATCCCTCACAAAAACCGTATATATGTGGTTGTAATTGGAGCACATACCTTTTTTTTTCATGTATAAACATATGAGGATCCGCAATGTATTGTGCTCGAGTCCGTGGATTTGCTAAGCCCAAATAATTGTCTGTCACTCCTGCAGGAAATTAATTGATTACAAATTAATATCGTTCCGCCATCTGACGGTATCAATACAAACTTATCTAAGAATATTATAACCCAATAGGTAAGGACTGTTCGTTTGCAAAGATTTTTATTTATAATTTTACAATATTCAGTGATTAACGATTTTATGAATAAATCGTTAATCCCTGAATGACTACAAATGCTAATATTTACTTATTTTGTGCAAGTAAATAGATATTCATTGCGACACGATTTTGTAAAAAAGTACTTATACCATAATAATGCTCGTTATATTTGACGAATTAATGTAGTATAAATATTTTCTTTAATTTTTAAATTTTTTTAAATTTGCATCACAATAAAAAAAGTCGTTATTAATAAAGAATGATCTATTTGTTATCTATGTATGCAGGAAAACAAGGGTCGGAATTGAATCCAGATTTTTTGACTGATAAGTAACTGCTCCGATGCCTAGCTTATTTCAAATATTGTACTTTTAATCAAACATTACAAAACCAGACATTATAAATATCACATTAAAAAACTGGAGTTGATAAACAATTATGTTTAGAGGATAACAGGAGAACGGTTTCCTTTTTATTATCTTCAGCACAAAAAAGGATTGAAGGCGACACAATGGCCAAAATGCACACACATAGAGGCTTTTCTATAAAATTTAAAAAATTTATTAAAGCTTGCCTAATTTAGACAATCATATAATATAATATATTAGCATGTAGATGCAATAAATGCTCCACCGATACGATATATAAAAACGAATTTGTCTCGCACGATTTACTCTATGATGAATATCTCCTGTTTATTACGAAGCGACGCACGTATTTTTTTTCCAGCGTGCGTAATACGCAATAGCTTTATCAAAATTAGGACGCGATCGATTTGGAAATTATATCTAATTAATAAAGTTATTCGAAATACTGAAAATAGATCGTCCTCTTTACTTCATACTACTATGCTCCGAAGGGGCACATATCTTTTTTTATTAACATTGGTTCCTATACAATCACCTAATAAGCGCATAAATTGTCGTCACCTGGACTTCGTTTCTCTGGTCAAGATGGTTTGCGAAGAAACTCGGATATATAAAATATATAATATATATCATGTATAGGTTTATCATTATATATCTAATCTGATTCTAGAATGCTATCGTTATTTTTATCAATACTAACATATAAATATAATAAAAAATGTAATCTTCTGTCTTATCGAAAGATATAAATTCTCATAACAAATTATCGTTGTCACTTCATACTTTCACTTACAATTTGCAATCTCTTTTAAAACAGAAACGTACATAGAATGTGAGTTGAGATCGAATCCGAAGCTATTGAGTATAAATTTTCACATAAAACTGCGTATCACTTGAATAAAAAAATATTATTCATTAATTTTTTATTAATTAAAATAAAATAAAATAAAAATCACACAATATAGAAGATATGAAATTGCTGCTATTAGACTCAATATAAAATAAGAATAAAACATGCAAAATAAAAAGAGACATCTTATAAAAATTATTAAAAAATTCATTTCATTAAAAAATAAAATTTACGTACAATAACATTCTAGAATCAAGACACGGGACACATTTTCGAAATAAAATCTAAGTTGTGGAATGTGAATATATGATAGAAAAATGCATAATAAAGGATTAATCATGTTGCCCTGTAGCTTCTGTCCTTGTAGGAACGCCATACAGAGCCATTCCTTTTAATAATTTATAGATACGATCAAAGTTTTACTCAGTTATCGTATTGTATCGTGTCCAAATGATTAATTATGACATCACATGAAACTACGCTAATAACGCGACGTTAACTAAAAAATATCTTCTTTTTACATTGTGTTCAGTTGTTTCATTCAATCACATGATTAGGCCTTTGTAGAGTTTTCGGAGACGCGATGTAGCCGCTTTTCACCACGTTCACAACAAGATTTTTAGGCTTCGGCGGTAACGGTGGAGGTTTCGACAGCTTCGTATGCGACACATCCGTGCCACCGTAGCTTCCTGAGTACGGACTCTTTGACGGGGAATCAGTACCGTTCTCGACAATCGTTTGATCTCCATCCATCAATGTCCTATCGCCGTCTAAATTGAATGAGCTCTCAAGGCACTTACTTAAAGGCTCGGTAATATTAACCAAGGCTGAAAATCGCTCGTTCGCAGCTCCGTTTGTCACGTGCGCAGAATACTCGTATCCGCTGCTGCTTTGCTTATCCTCGCTTGAATCATAAAACTTCGTGGTGCTCTCGCAATTGGCCGACACTACCCGAGTCCTTCGCATCTTGTTAGAATCGGATGGTTTCCCGTTCTCTTTGTTCTGATCAGTAATTTCATAGCTTTAAGAGTCGAAACCCATATATATGACATAGAGATCTTAAGTTTAAATTTGTGCACACAAACAATCTCTATCTCTCTCTACTGCTACTAAACCTCAATGTAAGATAAAATAGAATAAATTGAATATTTGTTGTAATGCACACGTGACTATACCTTTAAAAAATCTGGTAATTCAAAATTGATTTCCGTCCCTCTCTGATCCTCCAATCTCGATCTTTGCGCTCTTTTCAATCCCTCGTATAATTCTATAAAACAAATATGACTTAAATAAATAAATTGATCTTAAAGAGATACAGATAAAATTTTAATTAATAATCCTTTAAATTAAATAATTTTTATAATTATATATGAAAATTAAATAAACTATTTAAAATCTGGATTTGTAAATTATAAAACATCTTACGTAAAAGAGGAATATATATTATAGGTATATCCTTCTTACCATCTCCGTCAAATCTGCCTGGAAGTTGCAATTTTACGCCATTACGCCACTTTGCGATAAGTGGTGGCTGGGATTTAATGGGTGCTCCCTCATGAATACAATCGTTTGAATTACCCTTTTCACTTGTGTTGCAACATTTAGATTTCGCCTTAAAAAGAAAACCGGAAGTGTGTATTAAAAAAAAAATTAAATTTCTTGATTAGAAAAATATGAACATTGAATATGTTACCTTCTTCTTCCCGTGAATTGTCGAATCTCGAAGGAAGAATTTGCTAGATAATATAGAAGATCCCTCCGAACGTTGATCATCCGACTGTAAAAAATAATTTAGTAAAAAAGATACAAAAGTGATGTTAAAAATAATATTATTTTTTAAACATTACTGTGCTTACCTTACATGATCCTTCACTATACTGATATTTATTTCTACTTTTTCCAACCAGGAGCTCCTCAAATACTTTATTTGTTATTTCATCTAGAGTTGGTTGTGCGTGTGGCACTTCGTCTAGATATTTAGCAGTATGTAATTCCCGTTGAAAATCTGCAGAATAATAATATATAATTAGTAAAGCTTTAATTTGTTATCAACTTATCAAGTATTATATTATATGTATATATGCATTAACCTTCTTCATTCGCCATTACAATAATGCGTGTAGGAGCATTGATAGCCATAATATCCATAGGAACACAACGGCCTTCACTCCAAATACTAATCAAATCTAAATTGAAACCATATTTATTTAGAAGAGGTCTCAAAACTTCTTTCAGAGTTTTACCCTTGTGAGCAATAATGCTTATTATCCTTCGCGAGGGTAATTCTACTTTTAAAACTTTTGTGGGAACGACTTCCACTTCCTGGCCTGCTAATACTGATGAAAAACACTTCGTATCCACCATCTGCAAAAATTAAATTACATGAATGCAATAATTAAGAAACTTACTTTTATCTGTTCCATCACCAAATTGTATAATACAGAATATAAAATAATAAATAAAAAATACATTACCCATTAGATGTTTTATACTTCGTGCAAATTAATATAAAATATTAAAGAAACATAAATTCTATTTATATATTATAATGCATAAATAGAATTTTTATTCACTTTAATGCAAAAAAGCAAACGTGCATTAGATAAAAAGTATTTCTCTAAAGCTTGCATTCGGTTAAACAGAAGGCAACACAAACCTCATCTGTTGCTAGTATCAGAACATCATAGTTAGAATATCGTAGGGCTCGCTTATCGAGCAGACGGGTAACTATGTCTTTAATGCTCTCGGTTTGGCTGGTTGTCACTACAGTAGTGGACCCATCAGGTAATATGACTCGACATAAACCCGTGCATTTGCTCCGAGCATCTTTCTTTTCATTCGTTTGCCCATCATAAGACGATACAGACTACAAGTGAACATACATTTGTTCACGTATATACAAATTGACATGTAAGTTTTTATGTGCACTTTAAAATTTACATAATTTTGAATTAAATGGCCTGATACTATTTTGCAAGTTTAAAAAACTTAATAAAAAATTATTTATAATAATAGTTTGTATTAAATTTGTTCTACAATAGCTGATGCACATCTTAGTGGATTAATGCAATGTATGTACTACTCTTTCACCTGATTACTATTATTATTAATAATAACTACTTTTTCAAAAAGTATATCACCAAAAGCACTCTCTACAAAATAGATTTACACACAACACTCGTTAAAATAACTCAATGTGCAACTAAAAAAATTATCGCAAGAATTTTACACAAGTTTCACTTCAATACCAGCACATACAATTCATACAAGTCTTTTAATTATGAAATTAAAAATTATTACAAGTCATTCAATTATGAAAGGCAAATTTTATTATCAAGATATGTACTCAATTTCATATTTAAAACGTCATTGGGTTGCTATGTTAGTTGCAATAATACTTACATGTTTGTTAAATGATTGCCGTAACGCCAAATCCCATGACGCTAATGATGACCGACTACTAGATATTGACACTGTGTCTTCATTATTGTTACCTTCCGTTTCTCTCTTAATAACTGTAAAGCTTTTATATATAGTCTCACTTCGGCTAGGGGTTTTATTGTATTCGGATTCACCACGATCTTTTGATTTAGATCTGAAAATGCAGTGAAATAAAATAAAATACATATTGCGCGAGCAAACGTTTTTGTTTATCAACAGAAATAAAATTGTAAATAATTTACCTATTTTTTCTATTCCATGGAAGAAGCGACTTTCGACAACGATCTTCCGCATCGGAGTGACTCTTCTTTAATTTTACGCTAGGCGAACTTGTAAGATGTAGATCACAGTCTTCTGTATCGACAACAGCGCTTCCCGCTTCCAAGCAGGCACGATAAAGTTCCGATCGTAAGAATCTCGGGTAACTATCGAACTTCATTAGGTTGAATACTTGTTTCTGAGTCTAAGGCAATAATAGCAATTACTTGTATTATATACAATAAAATTCAAATATTCATCATATAATAAAATATACATAAAGAACAAAATATTTTGAAAGATTTAGTGATTTAATTTATTGTCAATAAAATTTTAAGTATCGTACAATATTTATTTTTTTCTAATAAAAAATAACATTTTAAAAAATAACATACCTGTAGAAATAAATCCGCGGGTGCTTCGTCGAGTAATTCTTGAGTAATTTGTCCTGACGCATGACTATCAACATTAACTGGCTCGGCGGCTGTGTTTGACAAATGGCGCTGATATATCTGACAAGCTAATCGACGGCGCATAGTAGTATCTTTAGTATCTTTGTATCTTTCACAAGCAGCCCAAAAATATATATTTTCATGACTAAACTCCTTCTTGAGAAACTCCTAGAATAAAATCAATTACGTACAATAATCGTAACACACTGCATATAACGATCAATAGATACGAGAAGAATCACGCAATACTCACAGCGAATGTTTGCAAACCCTTTGGATCCTCCAACAGTTTTTCAAATCCATTTGCCCAAGTGTGCACTCCCTTACAGTCATTGTTTTTGTCACAAGACTCGGTACTACCATACTGCAACAGATACATATTCTATTAATAAGATAAAAAAACTGCAAACTTAATCTAGGAATGTTATTTCAAATGTTTTATTACAGATTAACAAAAATTGTCTAAATAAAAAAAACTTCATCTTTTATTGCTTTTTCATTTCGTATATAAATCTATTAGATATAAAAATTTCCTTTTGTGATCTAAAATAATCTAAATTATCAAGCTTAATATTAAAGAAAGTTGGCAAATTAAACTAAAAATACTTAAATAACGCTTACTTTTTTAAATTATACATTTCTGAATCAAATTGTTCAACTAAAGATTCTTTTGATAATACAACAGCATGGATATAGAAACTGTTTCAAAAGTGGCGTATTCATTTCTACCGCTTTATCGTAATTGCTGCTAGTTGGTCAATATTATTGTTATGCACAATCTAAGATCTCTATTTGCAATTCTATTTATCCATTACATCATGAAGTCTCCGAAAGAAATTCTAATATTAATTCCTACGCATTCCTACGAACTGAAACCTTTACAGTTCAGCACCTGTCACGCAACAGGTGCGCGCTATGAGAAAACGCTTTCTTGGATCGCTCGCTTCGCATGCTCTGTTTTTCCATCCTCCTTCCCCGTTTGTCTTCCTACGTGTACGAAGCTAACGCGCAATTTCATCTTCCCACGTACGATTTTTCTCAATTGACATTACAGTGTAACTAAAAAAGCTACTTAAATGACACCCCAAAATATTTAAGATAACAATAATAGTCATAACAACGTTCCGGTTGAGGAGGAAATTAAATAAAGAATAAACGTTCGTGCATCGGACAATTCGAGGAATGCGGCTTTAAACGAAGCCAAACATGAGTCGTCGCGCTATGAGCTCACGAGCTCAAAGCCCGTGATTATCAATAATTAAGGAAATAAGTCGCGTAAGCGCGATTACCGCCAAAGACGTTAATGAACAATCGACAAGCTGATCTGAGCTTTAATTAAAAAGAATATGATTATCGCACTCTTTATGGTCGATGATTTTATCTTTGATGGATTTATCCCGTTGTTTCTATGGCGAACGAAGCATTCATCAAGCTACAAGTACGATGTTGATTTATGTTCACTTTGACCTCTCTTAATACATTCACTTTATCACTTAATCATCCGATATACAGAGTGTCAAATTTAATGCAACAGAAGAAGGACATCTTGTGTGAATCTCTCGAGTTCACTATTCCCATCAAGGCTGCGTTCAGAAATTTCCTATCATTTTATCCTTGTTGTTCACAAAATGTTATAGTGAATTCGGTTAGACGTACTAACTCACTGATGCATATTAAAGCTTTCGTAAACAAAACGAGGTAAAAATGTACGTTTAATAAAAAATATTTATTAGTATGCGAAATCCTTAATACTCTTTATTGTGCTATTTTGTAAAATATGTATTATGCCCAATTTTTTCACTTCCAGAAAGTTACGGATAACTTTAATCCAGGAGATATCTCCATTGTAATCTGGGATATCTCTTGAATAAAGATTTATCTAGAGGTGAAGAAAATAAGCATTAGACATTATATTGTTCTAAATATTTGAATTTTATTTTTACATTTAGATTAGATTAGAATAGCTTTAGGCTGCTTTTCTTTTAGAAAGCATAGTCGATACAAATAACATTCCATGTTTTCTTGACAGTCAATGATAAAGCGACATTTGTATCAACAGGTCTCCTAAAAGGAAACCAGTCTTAATATACACTGCACATTAGAGTGTTCAATAGAATTCGTTACAAGAAGTTTTTTATGGTTGAACTAGTGTACACTTTTGAAACCTAAGGTCTGTTTTTTCTCTCTCTCGCTTTCGCCAAATAGACATATAGCCATCTCACTTTAGGTTCCTTAAGTGTACACTAATTCAGCCAGAGAAAACAGACTCTTAAAGTGAGGTATACATTTGATATTTGACGAAAGCAAGAAAGAGAGTCCTAATGCAGTTTAGGGCCATTCCAATCAACTCCGATTAACTTTAATTTGTCAATAACAGGTGCAGGAAGAAAAACAGATCCTATCCTTTTTAAAGACAAAATGAATGTCGTTCTATCTTTGTTGCCTGAATGCCAAGAAAGACAGAATAATGTTTGTGTCGACTCGTATCATTAAATGGAAAGCAACCGTAATAATCACGTTTCGAATAATCGGTGAAACAATTTAAAAGTTTTATAAATGTTTCTCAAACGAGCTTTTTATCTATGAACTCAGTTGCCGGTTGCCGCAAGACAATCAGTTATTTAACGCTGAATATACAAACTTACGACAGGCGATGAAACTTTTCCTAAAAACGGATCCATTCCAAATTTGCCGAACCATGCGTCATCGATAAATTGCCGCGGCGACAGCGAGACGTGCCGCATACAACAGCGTTCACGATGCACGGCCGAACACCCCGAGCAAACCTGTCCGTGGCTCTTTTTTCTACGTACCGATTTCGCCAGCGCATCCATGTCACGCTCGCGGGCCGCACGTTTTCACACCAGCGGCGACGGCGGCAATGTTATTTATCAGCCTCTTGATACTCGCACGTACCGGGCAACGATTGCATACTTTGGCGCGGAATAGGTAAAAGAACGGACGACGTCGACGTCGGCGACGAGAGCTAAATGGATGATTTGCTTGTGTAATAACGAGGGCTCCGCCCAGCGTGATGATCGGGCATCGCCGAGCCACGGAGCAAGTCGCGAACTACTGCGTGCTTTGGGCCTTGGCAGACGTGACCAGACGTGACCAGACGTGACCAAACGTGACGTAACGTGACGTGTCGCAGAACACTACGAGCTGTTGACGATGGCGATAACGAGTAGCCAGAACGACATAATCGTCTGCGACATCGTCGCGACAGCACACACCGTGTGCTACACGGTTACTACGTTCATCCCGGTGTGTTACGGCGCTGAAGCTGGGGCCACTTTACGCTCGAACAAGGCCCATTTCCCTCCCTATTTCTCTCTCTTTCTTTCCTTCCTTTTCTCTCTCGTTCGCTCGACGTCCCTTCACCTCTCCCTCAATGTTGTTCTCGACTGATTCATTCTCATCGTCGACCCGTCACTCGCCCCGCTCCTCTTCCGCTTCCATCGCTACCACTACTACAACAGGCCCGCGTCACGGCCTTTCCCTCTCTGTCTTCACCGACGAACTCTAGCGTTCAACCTCGTTTTAACATCTATGCAGGGCCGCAAGCAGGGAGCCGATCCGGGAGGGATTCATGAATGCAGAAGCGAAGAGGTGTTGGGTATTTTAAATGAGCTGTGAAATACGGATCGATTAAAATGAGGATTAAGACTTTAAATGAATGGAAGTGGTGATTTTGGTAACTGTATTAAAGGATGTATAGTTTTGTGCAATTGAAAGTAACAGTTTCATCAAAATAAAATACTTAAAATCCTTTATCTTAAAAATAAATTGTGTTAAAACTCTTCTAATTCTTCAATAGAATCAACAGAATTAATTGTATATAAGTTGTCAGTTTGATTTGGCTGTATAAATAATATGAGTCAATGAGATAAATGTATAATAGATGAAGGTATTTCAGATATTTTTCGATGATACGTATGATTATAATAATATATTAAGACTTGATGATACATATAAAAAAAATGAGCGAATTCTGAACATAAGGAATGGATATCCTCTGTGCAACCGACCCTGCATTTATCATCGTAAGATCTATTCATGTACCTAAAGGCAGTGCATCAACCTCAGAGTTCGCGGGAACATTTTTTTTAACGTTATTCTGGCATTGTTGGTTATAACGTATTATTAAGAGCTATTTTTGCAACTCTGCACCAGCACAGATTAAGTTTAACGACTCAATCCTATTTAACCTTATTACGCTAATTTATGCCATTTTACGAATTATGATGTTTACTTTGAGAATTGTAATGTTAATTCTAGCTTATTACTATCTACAGATATTGAAGATATTAAATGTTCTTATCTATTATTTTCCGAGTGTAATCACAGAAAATCACAAATTTATAATTTTTATTTTTATCTCTGTTAAAAAAATTTTAATTCAAGCATCTAATATCATTCCAAATTATATAAAAGAAGAATAAATCTTAACTTCAATTTTAGTGTTGTTGCAAGATGCTTAACTTCGAATTCATTGGTAATCTGCAGAGAGAAAATACTACTAAATGATCACTGAGATATCCTGTACAAAATTGCGAGCCTGATGCGAAGTATCACAGTATCTATTAGTTCGTAATTCCATTCCTAGAAGCGGCAGATACATTTATATACCAAATAAAGTAATCGTATGCGAGAGCGTGTGGCGTAAATAAAACGCGGGAACACGTTCGCACAGAGCCGATCTGGTTTCTGTTTCGTTTTCACTTGACCCTTGCCTGTGTGCACGAGCGCAAATCAGAGGCAGGAAACGATGACGCAGTCGTGAATAACGAGTACACGAGAGGAACCGGAAATCATTTGCAACGACAAACCTATGGGAGCATTAATGTGCACATTACTGATGCACATTTTCAGAAGTAGTCGGAACTCGTGAGAAACCAGCGAGAAAGATATGATTTCGCGTACATTTCGCTAATTAACGTAAAAAGACACGTAGATTGGCTACCGGTAATTAAGATAATATATAATGATAAATTAAAATGACTTGATATATACCGTTTTCGAGAAGTACGACTTTTTCTAAGAAAATGCTTGGCGATGAAATTATAAAATCTTAAAAATTTATCACAAGCGCTAAATAAAAAAACAATATTATGATAAATTATATAATGCAAAATAAAAATAGATAAATAATGCATTCCAAAAAAATTGTCCTTTTTTTGTTGAGAATAACTTCGACAAGATGAAGAAATCAAAAAATATTAGATTATTACGGTATTATTTGCAAAAGTGTCAGAAATTGAAAAACGCAAATTGATTAGCAACTTCTCAAAAAAAAAAATTTACATATATCGACGAAACAAATAAAACAACTCTCCTAAAACTATGACAGATTGAATTAAATGAAAGATCTCTCACTATGCAATTGTCCGAGGCGCTGCTGCGAAAATTCCGTATCTCCTGCAAACTTCCCCAAGGTCGAGGCTTGTCAGACTTGCCGGAATACGAATGACAGTAAGGTTGTCGGGCGTACTCCATGCTGGAATTTATGTCCTCTAAGCTGTGCACTAACGATTTCGTGACCTGGCCACAGTACACCTTCGGACTGAGCTTGTTCGTAGTGTCCATGAGACGCTTTAATCCCTCTGTCGACACCACTTTAGACGATTCCGCGGCGTCCTCGATGCCGTCGAGCAATGCTGTGGTGCAAACGGACGCGAGGGATCCAACGGACGTACTGGCCAACATGGTACGTGCCGTCGCAGCAGGGGCAGATGTTCCGGCGCAGGTGGTGGTCGTACCTTCCCCACTCCCCGCCACGTGCCGCATCTCTGTGAAAAGCGCATTTCGTAGTTCCCCACCATCGCCACTGCTACATTCGCGCTTGTTAAGCTCAAAGTTAAACGAATTCTGCCCCAGTTGTATCCCATTTCAGATAGATACAGTTGGCGAAGAAAGAAAAAATTATCTTAAAATTATGTACACAATTTTTGTCGTATTACATTTCGGAGTGTTAAATCGAATTACCTTTAGAAGGATCAAATTTTAATTCTTCGCTCCACAATCTGGCCTCCGAGGTCGCGCGAACTGTCAATCGGTGTCCCGCAGCCTCACTGACAGATTCTTTGGATAATCGCGCGCTTACATTCTGCAAATAAATTATCCTTGAGCCAAAACGGTGAAATATTATATTACAAAATAAAGTAAGTGGCAAAACACTTTTAATATTTCAGATATTCGATTATTTTAAAATATATATGTATAGAAAAACGATAAATTATATCTTTTAATTATTAAAAGTATTTCTAACAAGTATTTATAATGTCAAAATGTTTGTATGTTTCAGGATGTGCTAAATTATGCTCGAATTATAATATCATAAAGACCTCGTTGCATTGATAAAAAAGTGACACATTTTAAAATTAACACCTTTTTCAGTAGAACATTGTTAATATTCTGAATTAGAACGTTTTAATTAAGAGTAAATATTAGTAAAAATGCATAACATTACTTTCTTTAATTATATTTTAAATATTATACTTTAAATATTCAATTATATGTATTCTTTAAAACTATGTCATGAATTTTCAAAATTCAAATACTGCAACTCTTATACTAATTGTTTACTTATGTCGCTTTTCTATCAATGCCATTTTTAGAGTCACTCAGATCACGGAAGGTAAATACACAGGTTTTAGATATAAAATTTATAAAATAGAGTGATAAAATATATTAATAGAATCTAAATTTAAAAAATACCCTATATTGCATATTGGAATATTGCCTTCTTCGTTCGCAATCATTCGCTAGATTTTTACTCGAGCAGCTGCCGTAGTCATCCTTAAAACCTATTCCGGAATCACTGTTGCTCGAATGAGCAGTCGACGTGCTAATGTTGCTCGGTTGAGGAGAAGCGGTGTCCAAGCGTATGCGTGCTTCATTGTAAGGATTTGTGCAATTCTCCCCATTCGTGCAATCGGATATATACAATGTCTGTATGGCACCGATAAGGCTCGTACAACTGTCAGGAAACTCTTGGCAAACGTTTAACTCTGATGATTTTGTACACATAAATCCAAACACATTACATGCACTGGAATGTACTTCATGGTCGATTAACTTGTAATAAATAGTGAAAACGTGACACGAGTTCGAGACGATATCATCTGTGTTCCTCATGGACTTAGTTAATATTCCAAAATACTGCTTGTCTTGCTCGGAAAAGGAGTTACAGAATATTATTCGATACGAAGGGTATTCGGCGATAATGCGATTCTCTGAATTGGTGAGTTTAATATTGGCAACGTGAATGGTGAGAAGAACGGTGGTTGGATTTCGCTTCTCGGCTTTCAGTCTTTTAATGCATTTTCTCAAAACCTGCAACAAGAACAAGCAAAAGTTTATATTTTTTGCTATTTCTTTATTATATATATTTTATACAAAATGAATATCACAGCAATATGCTTACTATATTAAATTGACAATTAAACCATTTAGATTTACGACCAATCAAATATTAATCTTATTGGTATATTCAGATTTATTTGACCAAAAATGTAATTTATTTTCTTACTAATATTTAAAAAAAACTTATTTCTCTGCTATTTGATGATTTTGTTAATATAAAATCTTTTTTTGTGAAAAAATGTTAGAGCTTTTTAATAACGTTCACTCAACAATATGATTAGATATAGAATATTTAAATAAACAAACAGGATTAATCAACAAATTATTATGAATTGATTCTAAGTATATGAGAAATGTACCTGCATCATAGAGGACGGATGCAATTGATTCGGTATATCGATAGTACCGAGATAACCGACAACCGTTCGATGTACAATCTTTTCAGAGTCGCGTTTGTGAGACGCCGGTGGTGGTGGCAGCGGGAGCGGACTTGTCATATTCCAACGATAATGCAAGCCAGAATAATTATACTGATCTTTAGCGTCAGGCATTGCTAGGCCACCTGGGACTGTATGGAACATAGCACCACTCTGTAGATCCCTAACCACCTTGGCTGCCCTGCATTGCAACTGCAAAGCACTCGCACTAGCAGTCCGTGGCTTGTGTGCATACTTGGGCTTGGATCTTACGGTGGCCAAGCCTTCCTCGTCCGAGGAGTCGGAGTAATAGTTCTCGGCAATTTGCAGTCGTAGGATACCCTTGGAGCTCCCAATCAGCTGCACCACGTCGTCGTGTGGTACCTTGCTGACATTGTGACCATTGACGGCGACCAGATAGTCGCCAGCACGCAGGCCAGCACCCTCCGCCGGGCTACCCTGCACGATGCAGCTGAGTATGCACGGCTGTTGGCCCGATATCGTAAAGCCAAAGCCCTTCGCGCCACGGACCACCTCGACTGCCCTCACTCCATAGTTCACCCGCTTCTTTTTCCGCCTGTTCTGATGCATGTCTGCCTACCTGTCGCACGTGGGCGTCGCAACGTCACGAAGGGTCTCCAGGGAGGAGCACGTCACGGTGGCTCGCAGACTTCATAATTCGTGACCTCACGCCTTCACAATGATCATCTTCCTCTAAGACGTTCCTTTACAATTTCCCTTGTTTATAACTTTGATCATAGACCTAGGAGTCTAGAACCAATTCCTTCTTCTTTAGTGAGGGATCTCCCAGAAGAAGCTGCTCCGGAACGACACAACGAGCTGTCACTTATGTGGCACTACTCCTGGTCGTCGGGACCTCGCTGATACGCCCACTCCTATTCACGGAAATCATTCGTGGATCATTTGATAGATTAATCCCGAGTCTCGATAGAAATGTCGTTCGAAACGAGCACCCTGGACCCACCTGGACGTTTGCCACTGTTCGCCACTCCGCGTTGTTCGTCAGCCGAACCTCGCTAAAAGCAAACTCTACGAGCGGATGTTTTGGAATGCGTCCATCGAGAAGGCTAGAGAAAGGTAATCGACCTTGTGGCAAATAGCTTAGCCCGAGGTGGCTCACCATCATCATAGCAAATGATTGGCTGTGAATGAAGAGGTTCTGGACATTTCACGCTTTCCTTACCGACGGCCAATCAACATTCTTAACACTTTGAGTCTGTTCGTTTTATCCGCCTCACAACAATCTGTTTATGATTTAATAAAATGATAAATAATTAATTAATGCTATTATACGTAATAAAAATATATTAGTCTTCTCGATTTTATAATAAATTCACTAGTTTTATTATGAAAACGCAGAACACTCTAACAATCTTTTAAATTAAAATTATTTTGAAGTAAATTCTAAACGACTAAAAAACACGATCTATTTTCTCTCCTGAAATTTGGCCAAAAGTCTCCGATTCGCTCCAAGTACAAATATATTCTCTTGCTCATTTATCGTTTTCAAACTTTAATTAAAAAAAGATCTCGGTAAATATTTCAGACTTTTTTATAATTTTGTAAATTTGTGTATTTTTATGCGTAAAATATATTTTGAGAAAGAAAATTATCGTTCAAATTTCATTTTTTTTATAAATAATTTTATCTTTTTAATATAAATCTAGACGACAGATTCGCAAAACAAACTCGCAATCGATGGTCAAATATCTTATCTTATCAGAAAAGGCCACTTTCGTTTCATCCGATACTTCATTGTTTATCACGATCGGCACATTTCGACGTTATCGGCTTTCATTTTTCTTCGCTCTTATAAAGTGTATATATACCGCTGTCTGTTGCTGTCCAGCATCCGTAGACTGCCGTATAAAGGCATAGAATTAATATTCGACTCGTCGACTCGAACTGACCCGAACGTACATCGCTCAGAGTACGTCTGGAAAGTCACTGGCTAACATATAATCGGCAACCGATAACGACCTGTTACATAAATCGCTATCAACAGCGAGAGAGGTAAACACTATTCCAGTGCGTTCCACCAAGATCACCGCTAGGTTCGTTCTTCATCCGTTGAAATCCATTCTCTAATTCTATATATTCTTTATTCATTCTTTATTCTCTTAAATCGTCATAAATCGTGCACCCGGCATCGACGAGCGTATCGGACATGTCTCTGTGCTTCCTTTCTTCGACAGCTTCGAGTAATATCTCCTGCGATTAAATCTACAATTAGCTATGAATTACATACATCATGCGCACGCGAAGAATCCGGTTTATACGGTTGGGAACGGGAATCGAGGCTGCGAGAGAGCGAGATTCCCGTCATTCATCGGTTGCGAATCGTACTTACTGTAAACGGTCGATTCTTAGCTTATAAGAAAATGGTGCTGCGTCACGGAATTTGCGTCGCGATTCTCTGTTTGGGTATTAAACGCTCCCTGATTCCGCTCGATTCCCGTTCGCTTCCCAGCAAAAGACATTTGATAGTACAATGGGTGTTTTGATTGTTTATAAGAATTATTTATAAACAACTGTCAACATTGTTCTACCAAGTATCCTTGATTCCTCGTTCTGTTATCTCTTTAGCATTTAATAAATTAATTTTACCTCATTTGTCAGGAATCACATCAGTGGTAGGAACACGTCTACTGTCATCCATGGCTGAGGCTCTGAAGACTCACAAAGTTATTCCAGATGTGGTGGAAACAGTACCCGCCAGCGTCCTGAAAGTAACCTACGATGGTAATATCGTTGAGATCGGCAAGGAGCTCACTCCAACTCAGGTCAAACTTCAGCCTAATGTTGAATGGGAGCCAGAGCCAAATACATTTTATACTTTATGCATGACTGGTTTGTAATATTTGCAGCTCATTTTTTATTATAAACTAGAATAAAAACAGTCTACAATTTTTTTTTTTTTTATTTAAGTATCTTTGTTGCATTTGAAGTTCACAGAATTTTTAATTTTGATTTTTTATCTCTTTCTGTAAGTTATAGTAACACAGGACCACATACCAAATTTTTGAAGAGAAACATAAATTTAAATATTTCTTTTAGATTTTGAATCATTGAATCTGAATTAGTAAGCCATTTTGTTTTATCATATCCAAGTTTTATCTAATCGAGAAAAATGATGAAAAATCTGAAAATTGAAACATTTGAGGAAAAAGTAAAATAAATATGACATTAAAATCGATATAAAATACTATTGTGCAACAGCCCAGGAATCTGCTGGAGTTATGGAAGAATTAGTCTATTTAAAAAATGGATGTTTTATTGTTATTTTATCTTCTAAAAGTAACAATTAAAATATCCATTTCTGAAATTGAAAAAAATTTCACCTGATTGTTACATAACAGTACACTGATTTGTTTTATAAATTTTGTTAGTGATTCTGTGATAAAATTATAGATAATAAAAGGTGTTTATATATTATTTTAAGTAAATGAGAAAGAAGTCATTCTGACAGAAATAACTAATGCACATTTTAAAGTTTAAACCTAAAGTAGTTCTTGTTTCACTCTCTGAGTTTTTCAGTATGTATGTATTAATGTAATAGTTTATAATTTAATAAGTTATTTTCAGCTTTGTGCTCTGTAGCATATTTTTTTAACAGATCCTGACGCTCCAAGCAGAAAGGATCCTAAAAACCGTGAATGGCATCACTGGTTAGTAGGCAATATTCCTGGATCGGAAGTAAATAAAGGAAAGGTTCTGTCTGAATACGTTGGTTCTGGACCTCCGAAGGATTCGGGTCTCCATCGATATGTATTTTTGTTGTACAAACAGCCTAAAGAGCTCACTTTCAACGAGAATTACTTAAGCAATAAAAGTTCTAAAGATCGTGCTAAGTTCTCCATTAGTAAATTTGCGGAGAAATATAAACTTGGCGATCCAATTGCAGGTAATATGTTCCAGGCGCAATATGATGATTATGTACCGATTCTCTACAAACAGCTTGGCGCTTAATTCTGTACATGCATCAATAATATATAATCAGTTACAATATGATATACATAAATTACGACATGCATTATATACATAATGATGTATATCCAACTGTATTGAATAAATAATAATAAATACACATCAAATACTTTTCAATTGACGTTTGTGTCTATTATAGTTAAGGAAAAAACAAATCTTTCGTTTTAATTTACTTAGTTATAAATTCAAAATCAAATTCTCCTTAAATTTTCCACAACATGCACTATCACCTATGATACTAGTTCAACTTTACAATTTGTTATCATAAATGCACACTTTATATAAAATTAAAATAAGAAAATAATCGAAAGTATCAACAAAAATTTTATAGCGATTAAAAGTTCCTATATACCAACATTATAAATATATTTATATAAAAATTATCTTTAATTTCTCCAAATTACATTCAATTTTTTTCTATTTGCGTTATACAGATATGTATATATCTTCATACATATTTTATGAATTAACCAATTTAATCTCGCGATCTATTTGATGATTAATAAATTTTCTTAGAAAAATTTTAATCACTAACACTCTGTGCTTATATATATTAGCAATAAATACACGATATTGGAAAGGCTAGCCGGATTGGCCTTCTAACACGCAAGTTGGTGGGGATATCTTAAAACGTTCCTTCGCTCACCAGCCTCGTTAATATTGCTGTTGCAGCTTGTTGGAAAGTGTCTCTAAAAATGAAGTATTTGATAACAGGTTCGTCAATCACGGTTCTATAATTTTTATTAATTTTATAAAGGAAATCGCAATGTTTATAAATAATTTTAGT